CATCATTCATTCATTTTCTTTTCGGCTTAGTCCTGTCGGGGCTCGAACCAGCATCATTTTTGCTGTGAGGTGATTGTGTTACCCACAGCACCACCTTGCTGCTGCATCTTGTAACACAACATGTATTTAAAATCGATTGATGAATGAAAATTACTTTTGTAAACCATTTAAAATAAATATAATAACAATATATAATAAAAATATGTTGCACATGATGTTGTCAATGGTTTGGAATTTATTTAGTAGTTAATACTAAAAATAAGGGATTTGTACTGCCGCTGTGTAAAATAAAATATATTACAGTAAATGTACTGTAGAAATTAACAGTGTAAAATTAAATGTGGTAAAGGGCATTTTAGCATGAAAAGGTTGCGGTAAGTCTGTTTTACTGTAAAATGAAATTGCAGTAGGGCTTTAATACTGTAAAACACAGTTTTTGTAAAGGGGCGATTGCGGTAAATTGCTGGCAACATTTGCCTGAGAAAAACATCCTGTTAGTAAACAAAAGCAAGTGACGCTGTGACTTAAAAAGTGAGTAAACCTATTGCGACTTGTTGTTGACCTAACTTAATTTTTAGAATTATGCACATGGTTTAAATTTTTTGTTAATTAAAGTCAACAAATAGCTTTTTACAGTTTTGTTTTTAATGTTCAAACTTCGTGTTTTCAGAGCCTGCAGTTATCATGCAAATAATCAGCCGGAATGCTTTTAGATATTAAAAAAAAAAAACATAAACTCCTCCCCTTATTTCTGATTGGCTAGTTTGCCGCTGAAACTCATTTCATTTTTTTTTTTTTTTGTGGTGCCGTCTAGTTATTTATTCCTAAAATGTGATGTTTTTTTTTCCGTTTGCATCATATCTTATCTGGTTATTTTCTCCCAGGTGTTGCCGGTTTTTACCGCTTTTTGGTCTCCATTCATCATCACATAATTTCTCCCATTTCGATTTAAAACCCATTTACCAGGTGCATCTGTTTAGGACTGTTTAGCGCATAAACACCATTCTTTCTCCCTGAAAGCTCATCATCACATCAGTATGATCTCCGTCAAGCGTTATTACGTAAGAAAGCTAATCTGGGTGTGTTGACTTTGGGCGCTGACATTGACTGGCTCTCAGTGGAGGCTTAAAAAAAGCAGGAGGCATGTAGAGGGCATGTGTAGGTGCTTTGTCCCAATTTCATCTGCTCCTATAGGCTGGAGGCAGCAGGTGCACCGGGACCTCGAGAGGTGATGAGGGAAGAGAGGGCAGGTCATGTGTGAACGGGACACTGCTTTGGGATGCTGTTTGATTTTTGTTACTAAATTATGGATAGTTGTGTACCGGGTATGGTGCAAAGATTTAAGGTTATCTTTATGGACAGTTTTATTCCAATTTGCAATATAATGGATGTATAGATAGATAGATAGATAGATAGATAGATAGATAGATAGATAGATAGATAGATAGATAGATAGATAGATAGATAGATAGATAGATAGATAGATAGATAGATAGATAGATAGATAGATAGATAGATAGATAGATAGATAGATAGATAGATAGATAGATAGATAGATAGATAGATAGATAGATAGATAGATAGATAGATAGATAGATAGACAGACAGACAGGCAGGACAGGAGTTTTATGTAAGATAAATATATAAAAATGTATTAAATATAATATAATATTATTTATAAAATATCAATAAATATGTTAATATTAAATAATTGTTAATAAATACACTATAAAAATTAATAATAGATAATATTTTTCAGTATAGATATTAATATAAATATATAATATAATATTTAGATAGATATATAGATAGATTGATTGATTAATAGATAGATTATATATTACAATAAGATAATAATAATATTTAGAAAATATGTAGTCATTTATTTTAAATATAATTAATATAATTGTGATCCTATTATCAAAACAATCAACTACCCAGTGTTAAAACGGTATAAATGTTGTTTTACTAAATTATTATACTGCATATTTATACCATTTCAGATATTAATTATTATACTTATTATTTATAAATTATATAATTATACTTTGTATTAAATTGATGTCATATTATCACTATAGAATTATTTGTTACCACTGTTAAAATTTTAATAAATATTATATATATTATATTTTCCTTCATTGACCATCCCCCTATAGCTCCCTGTCTGTGAAGTCAGTTCGGCAATAAAGGAAAAAAGTTGGCAAAATAAGGAGATGTACCTCAGAGATTGTGCATGTCATCATCGAAAACTGGATGTTCTTTTGCAGTGAGAGTTTGGGTGCTATTTTTAGGCCCATCGCGCCCTCATTAACACCTTCATTAACAGCATCGTCAGGCCTGTTCTTTTGTTGAGTCTTCAATGTCAGCACTTTTTCTGGATTTTTTTTATTTTGGGGTGGGGGGGTGCTGAGAGCCGTCTGAAGCCCCAGTGAGAATCTCTTGAGACCAGATATGAAGCTGGAGGAGTTCAGGCCTGGCTGTCTTCATCTCTGCTCTATTCTGAGCTGTAGTGGATGATTATGCTGTGTGTCCAGCAGAGGGAGCCCTCACACCTTTAATAACTGCTCAGCGGACTAGAAGATCTCAATGCTCACTGAAAACACTTTAACTAATCCTTACACACCTTTTATATCATTTTAATTTCATTTTACATACACTCAAAAATCATTTTGCTGCTTTTTTTTAAAACTATTTATAAGCTAAAACAACACGATTCTAGAGGTATATGCACAGCTCAGCCAATGATAAACTTATGGTTTCTGTGACTATTTTTACTTTTATAAGAATCCCTTTACAACATCGACATCAAAATGTAATTAAAATACAAGCAGTTAAATAAACTTAAGCATTCATTTAGCTGTTCAAGCAAGAAACAAGATAATAGACCATGCCATGTTACTGCTAGCGCTGTCAGTACCAGCAGGTCAGCGCAGAAACTCCATTCAAAATGAATGTTCATATTTTAAAGGAATGTCAGGGAAAATGGAATTTAATGCAGTGCTTCTTGTGTCTGAGACACACTTCATGTCGAATATCTATTAGGCAGTGAAGATCACTTATTTTTAAAGAAAACATCTTAAACGTGGCACTTTTGTAGTGGAAAGGCAGTTCACTGGAAGCTGTCAGGCTGGCTGGCTAAATTAAAAGTGTGCAAACTCTACAAAAGTGTGTAAAACCCCTATGTTTTATGTTCAATCTACTCAAAATTGTAAAAACTTTATTTTATAATAATATACAATTTGTGGAAGAAAAAAAAAAAAAAAAAAAAAAAAATATATATATATATATATATATATATATTTATTTATTTATATATAGGCGGTTCATTCCGCTGTGGCGAATGTAGCTGACAGGAAAATGAATGAATGAAATGAATGAATAAATATATATATATGGATTAGTTTGTCGGATGGTGATCATTACCACAGTTTTTGAAAATATTTCTTACATTTTTATCTTAGTGCTTACTATACTATTTTATGTTTACAAAAATTGGTATTTACAAATGTGCATTAAGCTATTACAGTTTGATAAATAATGTAATGATATTAAACATTTAAATAAACACCTTTAAACAAAAAAATATAAAAAAATACCTAGTCATTCATCATTTAAACTACAAACTGTTAGGAATCTGTTAAACTTTGTTTCAAATTAAAAACTGTAGCCCATAACAAACTTGCCAGTAAATAACAAACTTGCCAGCTCATTTCCTCCGTCACAATTTATCTTTCAAACCACCCGAAATAACAAATTAATCATCAGTTAATAACAATTTTTTATATTAAACAGTTGTATATAACTATACACTAAAAAAACTATTGATACTAGCAGTCAAATATGGAAGGACTTGGATTGGAAGATGAAGATGAGGTTTTCCAGAGTTCCATTAGTGGCCGCCAAATTCAATAATTTTATACAATTATCACAATTCTGGAGAGATTGTGGAGAAGTGGGGTACTGTGTCCACATGTTTTGGGAATGTCCCAAAATTCAGGTGTATTGGCAGGAGGTTAACAGGGAGATTATAAAGGTTTTAGGATATGACATACCAATGCACCCAGTAATTTGTCTCGTTGATGGCTTCCCCCCTGGTTAGTTCAGTAAGTCTTACCTATTTGCACTTCATATATTATTAATAACAGCTAGGAAAATAATTTCAGTGAACTGGATGAAGACTCGCCAACCTACTTTAACAGAATGTACACAGAGGTTGAAACAGATATTTATATTTGAGAAAATGACTGCAGATTTGCAGCTGAAATCAGACTTTTTTCAACAGACCTGGGCATCAATCGAAACATATTTACTTAATCTTTGAAATGCTTTCAGGGGCTTTGTCTTTGTCATAGTTATTGCCTTTATATTGTATATTTATATTTATATTTATTTTTTTATTTGTTTAACCCCCCCCCCCCTTATTTTTTATTTTTTATTTTATTTTTAAAAATGTTTTTATTTATTTTATTTATTTATTTATTTATTTTTCTTTAAGCTGTCATTATTATTTATCTAATATTATAATTTATATCTATTATTATTTATTTCTAATTGTTTCTTTTTTGGTGATTGTAAACATTCTAAGTAAATGTTATTTGTATACTATGTTTAAAAAAAATTATAAAAATACAGTAAAAAAAAACAATTGATACTGTAAATAATTGATATGGGCTGAATTTAAGCTAATTAAATTGAGTAATGTTCAACTTAATTTGTTTGTTTGAATCCAGCCTGAATATGTTGTTTGCAACCAGTTAACTTAAAAAAATGTAGTAAATCCAATGAATCATTTATTTCAGAGTAGCTAATGAAGTAAAAATGCATTGAACCGATATTAAAATGTTTATGTTTTGGTGCAAATGAAGCAAAACATTTGTATATATATATATATATATATATATATATATATATATATATATATATATATATATATATATATGATATAATATAATAATAATAATGATCACTATATTACCCAGACCATCTTTCTTGTTGTTCCCACCAGTCCGCGTGCCAACAGAGATGCCTTTTCCGGCATAGAGACCCCCGGGTCCAAACGGAAGCTGTACAGCGCTGTGCCAGGAAGACACTACGTGGTGGTCAAATCATACCAACCGCAGGCCGAGGGAGAAATCGTTCTTTACAAGAACGACAGGGTCAAAGGTAAACCTCTGTCTTATACAACAAAAAAGAAAATCACACATTCATTTCACTCCCAGATGAAAGCATATGTTTGCTGACTGTAAATATGAAGAGCGGGTTTGTGTGCATCAAATGAAGAGAAAAGCTGGTTTGTAGCAGGCAGTGCAGTTTCTCTGCCATATGGAGAGCAAGAATTCACAGATTCTGCCCTCCGGCAACAGGCGATGGCTGACCGCAATGAGCTACTCTTCAACAACATCACCATAGAGCATTTAGTTACACAAAAAGTAATTAAAAGTTACACAAAGTCACCATAGAGTAGGTCTGATCTCCTACATTAGAATATGTAAATCAGAAGAAAAGTGGTCAAAATGAAAAAGACCTATCAGAATGATGCCAAATGCTGTTGTTAATGCTGCCATTTGATAATAATTTAACGTTATAATTTAATCACTTAATGGTTAACGGACGGTCTAAAATGGAATAAAACAAATTAGAACTGGACAATTTATCGCAAAATTATAGTTAGCAGGATGATAGTATATGCATTGGGGGTCATCTAAATTCAATCAGATGGGGCCTCACAATCTTTATTCCCACCTCCTCAGTAGTTACTGTTCTGCTATTGGCTGGAGTGGCCCAAAAGTGAACCCAGAGCTGAAGATAAATACTGACAGCAGGAGTCAAGACCAGAGAGGAAACTGACAAGTTTTGAGAATGAATTCAGTCATTTATAGTGTTTAAAGACTGTGCACTCTTTTTTTGACGATCTATGAGCAAAGTCCAAAGCGCAGGGCGCAAAAGCATAAAGGGCGTGTCTGAATCCACTTTTGCTATTTCAAGGATGGAAAAATCTGATTTGCGCCTTGGCGCATGGTCTAACAGGGTTGTGCTTATTCTCTTAATGAGTAATAGGTGTGCTTTGAGAATAAACCAATCAGAGTCTCATCTCCCATTCTCTTTAAGAGTGAGTGGCGTTGTGTCATAGCGCATTTGCTATTTACACGGCTGACTTTGTAAGTGGAAAAACTGAACACTACAGGCGAGAATAAGAAATGAGCCTTTCACTTTCACTCTCATGGATAGCAACATGTTGTATGCACAGACATCCATTAGCCTACATAATTTCGTTTATTAAGCGCAAAGATTTGTTTTAAAACTATTTCTGAATTCAGTTCTAATTTGGATTTTTATCCAAATACACATGCTGTGCCACATATGGTACAAAATCTGACAGGTGGGCAAATCTAAGCTTGTTTTTAATAATGCAAATATAAACATACATATAATAAGTACTACTAATAATAATATAACATTATACAAAAGCAAATTGTCATGAATAAGCTAAAAAAGCCAGCCGAGATGAAGAAGGAATGGAGGCGGTGGTTTTTATATTTATGTAGGCTAGAAAATAATAATTTTTGTAACATTTTAATTCTTTTTCATTTGTAAAGATATCTGCAAATTGCTGTACATCCTGTGTGTATTAAGCAATGTGTAAGTGAGGCGTACAACTAACACGCTCTGCGCTGGACCATAGACCAGCTTTGATCTGGTCTATTGAACAGTCTATTATAGTTCCTCAAAATAGCAACGCACCACCAATGCGCCTCAACAAGCCTCCTTTTTTAGATCAGAATGCCTATGGGCGCACATATGAGCACACATGCATTTGCTATTTAAACAGTGTGCTACAAACATCAAAACTAGCAAACAACAATTGTGTGGCACCTTGTGCCACATTGCACTGGGTGTATGATAGGGCCCTAAAAGTTTCCACCTTCACACTGCTTTTTAGTCTTTATTAGAATTAATTTGATCTGAGAATATGGGTTGCAGCTGGAAGTTTATCTGGTGCATAAAACATATGAAGCATAAGTTGGCGGTTCATTCTGCTGTGGCGACCCCTGATTAATAAAGGGACTAAACCAAAAAGAAAATGAATAAATGAATGAAATAAATTACTTAAAAACATAGCTACTAAAAAAGCATTTTTGTAGGGAAATGTAATTTATCATAAGATATATCGTTTAATTTATTGAATTTATCGTAAGATATTGTTATCACAATAATATAGCAATAATATTCCAAATCCTATATTTTTTTCTGTATCGTGTAGCAGTAAAACAAATAAATAAAATAAAATGAAACAAGATTTTCTTGCGTTTGCACTGTTATGTCTGACTATGTGTGTCTTTATCAGCTCCCTTGTTCAGTGGTCAGGATGCTGATTAGCGCGTCAGCCATTTTAAGTCAATCGCAAAAATCCCTGAAACATTAGCTTACTAAAAAGTCCCACAATACAACATGAAAATCGGGGCGCATCGAAGCTCAATATGTTAATCAGACGTTCGGAAGCACGCTTGGAAAAATGAATGACATGAACCAAATCATCCAACATAACAACAAACATGAGGCATTTTTTTCTAAAAGATAACTGGTATTTGATAATAGGCAAGGCAAGTTTATTTATATAGCACATTTCATACACAGTGGCAATTCAAAGTGCTTTACATAAACAAGAATAAACCAGACAAGTTTAGGAACATAAATTGCAGACAATAAAAATGATTAAAAACAGATAAAAACAAATTGAAATGAGTTAAAATAGGTTATAAAAGAATGAAAAAGAAAACGAAAAACATAATAGTGCAATCTGTCGGACGTAGCACAGTGCTCATACAGTAAAGGCACAGCTAAACAGATGTGTTTTCAGTCTCGATTTGAATGTGCCTAATGTTGGAGCACATCTGATCATTTCTGGAAGCTGATTCCAGCAGTGAGGAGCATAGTGGCTGAAAGCTGATTCACCCTGCTTTGACTGAACTCTTTCAATCTCTAGTTTATATGATCCTAAAGATCTGAGTGATCTGTTGGGTTTGTATTCAGTGAGCATATCTGTAATGTATTGAGGTCCTTGGCCATTTAGTGATAATAATTATACTCAACCATTTGTGTACGAACATAGCTAGACAGGATAAGAACATTCTATCCTGCAAATATTTATTGCTGATAGGAATGTTGATGTTATTTTAACATAGATGTTGATCCAGGAACATGTCCTAACTAGCCGAATGAGAAGAGAAACATTATATTTGTCATTAAATTGTGGAAGGACTGAACCCAAAATGTGTGCAGAAGTCAGTAAAGGTGGATGTTTTCTGCAGCAGGAGTTGGGCCTCTTGTAAAATTTCTTGGCAGAGTGCATGCAAATATTTATCAGAAGCTTCCTAAGCCACGTGTGGTTCCTTCTGTGCGTTCAGCGCTCAATCATCCAGGATTTTTATGTAGAACAATGAGTCTCATCTCACAGCAAAAAAGGTCAAGCAATTTCTTGAAACTGAAAATATCGAAGAGGCCAGTTCAGAGCCCTGATGTAAACCTGATTGAAAATCTCTGGAACATCCTTGGCGACAGAATTATGGCTTAAAGGCTCAGTATATTTCAGTGACCTGGGAAAGAGACTAAAGAAAAGCATATCAAAATCACAGCAGAGCAGTCTTTCAAGGAAGGGGCTCATCAGAAATTGTAGTTCCTATTTAGCATCATTTTGATCACTGTGTTTTCCACAAAAATAAAATGGTTTTCATTGAAATGCTTTAGTTATTTTGTAAATTACTGTTTACTAGAATGTTATAGCTACAACTAAAATTCTAAATGATGACTATTACATTATTTCCGATATAATCAAGTGTTTATACATGGTTCTTTCATTTTGATCTCCACTGTCATATGTAGAACAGCACATGGCGTCTGTAAATAGTGCAAATAGTATTTGATATGTTTCTGCTGACTCTCTCCCTGTGTGTACTGTAGTTCTCAGTATTGGAGAAGGAGGATTCTGGGAAGGCAGTGCCCGAGGGAATGTAGGCTGGTTCCCTGCGGAATGTGTGGAAGAGATCCCGAGCAAACCCAACGAGGACAGGCCCTGTGAGTGTGTACACACATACACACAAACGCACATTCACACACACACAAACACACATGCGTTCTCATTCACTGACATGACCACTTAAAGAGACAGTGTACCCCATACTGACAATTTTCATCGATCACTATTTATATTGTATTTATACCACTTATTTACTTTTAATATACCACTATTATAGTATAATCCTCCCTGTTTCTTTTAAAAAGTACTATTTCCTTTTAAAAATATTTTTAAATAGATTTAATTGTTATCAAAACTTTAGTGTTCTTATTACCTTCAGTTGAAAAGGCAAAGCACATAGACATGGTGAGCACAGTGCTCATTCAGTAAAGGCATAGCTAAACAGATGTGTTTACAGTCTTGATTTGAATGTGCCTAGTGTTGGAGCACATCTGATCGTTTCTGGAAGCTGATTCCAGCAGAGGGGGGCACAGTAGCTAAAGGTGAATTCACACTGCTTTAACTGAACTCTTGGAATTTCTTATTTACTTGATTCTAAAGATCTGAGTGATCTGTTGGGTTTGTATTCAGTGAACATATTTGTAATGAATTGAAGTCCTGGGCCATTTAGTGATTTATAGACAAGTAATAATACCAATCTATTCTGAATGGTAGCCAGTGTAAAGACCTGAGGACAGGTGTGATGTGCTCTGATTTTCTGGTTCTGGTCAGAATCCTGGCAGCAGCGTTCTGGATGAGCTGTAACTGTCTGATTGTCTTTTTGGGAAGGCCAGTGAGGAGTCTATTACAGTAATCCGCCCTGCTGGTGATAAAAGCATGAAAAAGTTTCTTCACTGGAAACAAAGCATCTAATTCTCGCAATGTTTTTGAGATGATAGTATGCTAATACTTACTGCTTTGACATGACTATTGAAATTCAGATCTAATCTCAAAATCACACCAAGATTCTTGAACTTATTTTTTGTTGTTTGACCCTTAGAGCCAAGGTAAAAGGCCACAGTTTTTTGTCTGTTTGTCTGTTTTATTTGTCATTATATTAATATTAAAAAAAGAACGGAACTACAAAATTTTTATCACATTTTTCTGCCTTTGCATATTATTTTTTTTGTTTGGTATTTTTGCATAATGTTAATTTATTTTATTTATTAACTTTAGTAAAGCTAATTGCAAAGACAACATTTCGAATGTTTTTTTAATTTTTGACATAATTTTTGTCAATATAATAATATAATAAAAATCAATTAGCTTTTACAAGTTTTTTTTTTTTTTAAATATTAATTTAAAGAACTCGGCATAAATAAACAAATTATACACAAATAATCAGTTATTAATTCAAAATAATGCTCTTTTCTGAAACTCTTATAGCTTCAGCAGTATATTTTGTGTAGCAAATAGACTACGTCATCATTTTTTTAAACCCAGACATTGCACGAAATTGAGCAGCATGAACATTCTACTAAACATCTTTTTAAGAACAAAAATAATACGAACCTTCAGAATGACAAACTCAACCTGCATTTTAGATCACACAACCGTTTGTTCCTTCACGTGACAAACCGATGGCGAAAAAAACACAATTCTACTTCCTCTTCCTTCACTCTTTTCCATTCTTCTCCAGTGCTCTGGTAACCCGCAGAATATGTGAGGAGCCTCGCGGCGATAGCAGCCTGTTAATTCAGTTAGTGTTCATTTGCAACTAGGCCACAAAGCAAAGCACACACGTCCACCTCTCACATCAAATGCTCACGTTCATCCATCAGAAAAAAACAAACGCAGTAGAATCCAAATTGGACGCAGAAACGCTAATATCGGCAAACATGACGTTCAACTCCCATCCAAACGTGAGATAAATTTAGCTGATATTTCTAGTTGCGAATACAGTCATTGGCTGTTGGTGTGTGCACTCAACGTTCGCTGTGCAAATTGGCAGAAGGGGCCAGGGGCAACATTCTGTTGAGAGTTGTTATTTTGGGCCAAATGAATGCCTTCCACATCAATGCAGCCTACTGTGTGTTTTTTAGCGGCGTGTGTGTGTGTTGTACGCGTCATAGAAATGTTTTCTTCATGCAAATCCAAACATTGGTGTGACATAATTATGCATAACATAATCGTCCTGAATCCTGTTGTTAATCTACAGTCTAAAATCTCCGTCCAGATTGTTGGCTTTGACCATTTACAGTAAGACTATTGGCAGCTCTGTGAAAACAAATGGAGCATGTGGTGTGCAGAATGGAGGTGCAGTGAGCGACAGCTGTCATTGGCTGAGAGGATTGGCCCATGTGACTGTAGAGTTCAGCTGACTCATCTCTTAGATTGTAAGATTTATTGACATTTTCACATATAAGAGGTCATTGTGGTATATAAATATCCTGTTTGTTTCAGTACTCTTTCAGTTGTTTTGTAGCTTATTTTGAAGCCAATTCAGCTAAACAGACTGTAAATGTGCTACTTATGATTATATAATGGGGTTTCTAAACTCCGCCTCCACTGATGAAGATTAACATCTGTTTAGCCTGTTTAGCTCCACCCGCTGATTCACATATGTTGTAGTTAAATATCAAGAGTAAAATGTGAGTCTACAGAGAAAACGATGGCTTTAATCCTTCCTTGTTCACTTAATGTGCACAAATGCATATTTTATTTATTTGTTTATTTATCTATTTTATTTTATTTTCCAGACCATGATATGAGGAATTGGACTCTTCCTTGTTCACTTATCACTTTATTTATTTATTTATTTATTTTATTTTTTATTTTATTTTGCAAACCGTAACATTAAGAATTAGATTTTTCCATGTTCACCTAATATGCACAAATGCATATTGTATGTATATATGTATATATATATATATATATATATATATATATATATATATATATATATATATATATATATATATATACACACACACACACACACACACACATATATATATATATATATATATATATATATATATATATATATATATATATATATATATATATATATATATATATATATATATACATATACATATATATATATATATATATATATATATATATATATATATATATATATATATATTTATTTATTTATTTATTGTTTTTTAGACTGTAACATTAGGAATTCGATTTTTCCTTGTTCACTTAATATCCACAAATGCATATTTTATTAATTTATTTATTGATTTATTTATTTATTATTTTTTATTGTATTTTGTTCTATTTTATTTTTTTGTATTTTATTTTATTTTCCAGACTGTAACATTTAAGAATATTTGCACAAATACATAATTTATTTTATTTTATTTTGCTCATCTTAGGTCATACAGAAAATAACACCGTAAATATAATATAAATAATGTTGATACATATACTGTACATAACATGCCATAGAAATCACGCACTGATACAATTTACCAAACAAGAAATTATCAGTAAAACATAACTATACACTAAATAATGATCAAAAATAAGGCAAAATATCACATACAGTTGAAGTCAGAATTATTAGCCCCCTAAATCATTAGCCATTGAATGAACCATTAGCCATGATGACAGTAAATAATATTTGACTAGACTTTCTCTAGAAGAAAAAAATATTATTAGACATACTGTGAAAATTTTCTTGCTCTGTTAAACATCATTTGGGAAATATTTAAAAAAAATAATAATATTAATTAAAGTGGGGCTAACAATTCTGACTTCAACTGTAACTTAAACCTCAGAGAGGTCAGTGGATTGCCCTTGACAAGTAGCAAAATGTAGCCAAAAATGTTTTTATGGAGCTAGTCTTAAAAATCTTGAGTCTCTCCATCTGAATAACAGATATATCAGAAATCCAGTTCTGGAATGGGGGGAGTAAAGGTAATTTCTAGTAATTAGGCAATAGCTTTTAGCCACCACCATGCCTTCCATTAAGGACTCTTGCATTGTTTGAGAAAGAGAAGATGTTTTTTGTGAGTAGCCAAAGATGGCGAGTTCGTCATCTGGTAGAAAAGGTGTATTATAAGCCTTGAATTTGATAGTGCTTTTAATATATATATTTATATATTTTATTTTTATTTTTTTATTTATTTTTTTAAATATTAAGGAAATGCAATGAATCAGCTGAAAATGGTGAGGAAATTAAACCATAATCAAAGAGAAATGCAATGAAGCAAAGTAAAATTGCATTTGCCTTTGATAATGGTTTACTTTCCCCACCATTTTCTGCAAATTAATTCCATTTCCTTCATTTTTGAATCAAAGATAAGATGCGTTCCAGCTACCATGAGTGTATTGCAAATGTTTTGCCACCCCAAATACAATATTTGCAGGTAAAATAGTGCTTTTTGAAAACATTCTCCTTTCTTATTATGGTCAATAACCGCAATGTCGCAACACTATTTGTTCAATTCTCACACATTTTTGCAGTAATCGGGAGTGAAAATTCTGGCTATGTTTGGTAGTGTCACTTGAGGCGTTTTTGAAGCTCATCCATGTTTGGCAGTGTTGAGAAAGGAGCAGGACGTTGCTGCGAAGAGGTGAGAAATGCTCTGTTGTGATGGAGCCGCTGGCAGCCTTGAAATCCATGGCTACTACAATACATCTACTGTACGAGTGAAGCGCTTGTGAACAGTTACAAGGACAGCTCATATCTTTCTTTGAATTATGAACTAGCCATTCGGTTCCCATGGCGATGCCCTCAGCATTATTTGAATCATCTTTTGAAGAATGTTGACCTTATTTTTATGTAAAATATCCAACAGCGAGCATAATGACATCACATATTCATCTATATTCTTATAGTAAAGTTCACTTTTCAGAGTCCAGAGTCCACTCGATCAGTAGTGCTGGCTCTGGAAGTACTTTTCACATTCATTTTTCCCATAGGAATTTTAATGCATGAACCAGATCAACCAGCTGTAAGCATAATAACAGTACAAATGATTATATATACATATATATAAATATATATTAATTTATTAGCCCTACTGTGAAATGTTTATTCTTTTTTAAATATTTCCTAATTTATGTTTAACAGAGCAAGACAATTTTCAAAGGACTTCCT